AAGGCTCACTGAAAAACACAGTTTAGCATAATGTTAGTTTAGATAAATATAAGTTTATGCGTTTAAATAGCAAATCTTTGTAACTTTTTAATTTTACAACCCACTACCACCCCAGCTCTTCCCCATCCCCCCATCCTCCATCTGACTTAATTTCATGTCTGTTAGCAGTAATAGTTCTGTACAGAACATGCCCCACTCTCCCTTCCTTTGTCATTGCTAACTACCTTTTCTACTAAATACCAGGGGTAGCTGTAGCTCAAGAGGTAGAGCAGGCCATCTCCTAACTGGAAGGTTGGTAGTTTGATTAGTGGCTGCTCGAGTCTCCAATCTGCATGCCTTTTTTTTGGCAAGATAGCAAACACCAAGTTCTTCTCTAAACCATTTCTCATTGTGTGAATCAGTGAATGAGGCATGCTGTATAAAGCACTTTGAGTGTTCAAGTAGAGTAGAAAATCACTATATAAAAGTCAGTCCATTTAGCTGCCAGGCCATTTCCAAGCTTAAATGAGGCCTTCTCCAAACAGCTGGTCTGTACCCTGGCCCACATAAAATGATGGTTTTCATTCATATTTGGAGTTGCGGTCCTTGCTGCTGAACCATAGTTGGAAATAACAGCAGTTATTTGACTACTGTATCCCTGAATGAAAAGAAATTGAGACACTGTATTATGTGTTGAAGCTTCGTTGTAAGCTGCATTTAGTTGTACTGCTAAATTCCCCACTTATCACACAAATCTAACTTTTTTTTAATGACATCCATCCTTGAAGTGAATTGTAGGTCACATGAACTTTTTTCTTAAATAAAAATAATGAATAAAATGACTGTTTTGCTTTTGGTGTTCTATGTTTTTTTGAAGTGATCATTCATTAGAAAAAACACTGCAGCTCATCATTGATGATTACTACTATAGATTTCTTAGAGATGCTACTTTGCATGGACTGAAACAGTACTGTAAGAGTAGCAGCAGGATTTCATGGTCACCAGGGAGACCAGCAAAATCTTTTTTTTTTTTTTTTTAAATTAAGAAAACAAAACAAAAGCAGTTTCTATCCATGTAACTTACCCATAAGGCATTCATGGCATGTCAAAAAAAATATCTTGCTCCCACCCACCCCCTTCATTTCTGTGTGAATGTGCTTGACTGATCATGCTTATCTGTCTGAGTTCCATTTTTTGGTTGCTTTGTTTTCTTTTTCTTTTCAGCCTATGAAGTGTTGATCACGGGAATGAGATCATAAATACTGAGGATGTATAAGTCTTACATAATTTAACTTACATTTAGGTAAGTACTGTAGGGTTGGAATGGCTGGTTTGAGTAACATTTGATTTCAGAACCTTGTTAGTTGTCTGGAATCATGACTTTCTGTGTGTGCAGCCAGGCAACAAGAAACACATGAAAAACATGAAGTGTTTGTTTCACCCAGTGTCAGCTAAACACTGTACAGACACTTGTGACAAGTGTTCAATGCAGGGTGTCAAACTCATTTTACATCGTGGGACACGTACAGACCACTTTGATCTTAAGCGGGTTGGACCAAACTCTGCTTTCTGTCACTGTGTAAAGAAGTTACATATTAAACAGTTTTAAAAAGTTGTGACAAAGAAAGAAAATCTGTCGGCATGACTCTTTGAAGAGTCTTTATAAGAACTTTTCCTATTTTCACAAATCAAAATCTGTTTACCTGCTCGTTTATCATTTGCTGTTTGCTGGTTGTTGAAATGGTTTTGTAAACTTTTAGCTGAGATTCTGATGTTTCTGTGGATGCTACACGTTTATATATTTAACAGATCTGGTGGTACATCCTGTTAAACCAGATGTTCTCCCTTTCACATTTGATACTGGGGGCATTGGGGTTCAATAAATTAATTGTTTATTGCTTAATTACTTTGTGGCCATAAGGAAGATTTTTATCAGTAGGAAAAGCTGTAAAACCTATGAAAATATAGTTAAAAGTCCAAAATTTATGCTTGTTTGTCGTGAGCAGCAGATGAAACAAGTTAAGAACTATAAATTAGTTTTCTAGTCTGTCTTTGCATGTGGCCAAATGGTGTGCCCATCAAAATAAAGTTGCTTGCATGAATTCTCTGCAGGGCTGAAGATTCGCCTCCCACGGGCCATTAAAACCTGACAAATAACGTAATGGCAAGAAAATGCATTTATCATTTTATAATTATCATTTTTGCATTAAAAAAATCTTTGTGCTATAAAAATATCATAATCCAAAACAAATTGAATAACACGATGTTGTCATGCTGACATCAGCACTAATAATCAGTATATATTGCTGATGTCCTTGATCTTCTAATAGAAACAGGCTAATGTCATCACATTGTAATACAAACAGGATGTTATTAGCATGTTCTCATGGGAACATCTTAAAACACTAAAACAGGTTTTCGTATCGTTCTTGTCCTTCTGAGGAGTTGTGGTCTCTGCGTGCTCTTGTTTCTCAGTGATTTCTTTCCTCGTGGTGCATCTTCTCTTAGGTTTTCCACCTCCAAAAATCACTTTAACCTCTTTGTTCAAGTTAGAGCTAATTCAAGCGAATTAGTTCAGTTGATAAGCACCGCTGTTAATGTGTTTTCTAAATACAAATAACTGAACAGGCATGCGGTCCATAGCAGGAAACCAAGAGGGAAGTTGCTGCATGAAGATTACTGAGAAAAAACAGCACCATACTGCAACTATAAATATCAAGTATCGTGGGTATAAGACCATGTGGTACCGTATTTGGGCATAGATGCTCTATATCAAAGAAAGGAAACTGACGTTGATAAAGATATCTTCAGCCATTTTGACACAAGCACCGATTTTTTTTTTTTTTACTTGTCTCATCACACATGCATGAAAACACAAATATCTGACACAGAGATCAGAACTTAGAGAGGGGCTGGCATGAAGTTGAAGTTATTTCTGCCAAAAGAGGAACAGCTGGTTATTTTAAACCATGATTGATGATCTACTTTCTTCCACCACTGAGAACGCTTAATGGGTGTCCTTAATAAATAAAGAGTTCAAAATGTATTATTTATTAATTTAGCGCATTTTTATCTATGTTTTGATAAGAGTATAAGAAACACTTCTCACCTGAACAAACAACACCAGCATCCTCACCATGTCTACAGTCGTGTTTCCCAAATCCACTGTGTCCACACTCAGTTAGAGAACTTTCACTTCCTGAACAGGCCACTTCATCAAGCCAGATTTGTCCACTTCCTTGACCGAAGCGAGCAGATGAAGTGGCCTCCAATGCTGTCCCACAGCCCAGCTGTCTACAGACCACCTTAGCATCATTTAAGTCCCAGTTATCGTCACAGACCGTTCCCCACGAACTGTTGTAGTAGAATTCTACTCTTCCTGAACATGAAGTAGACCCAGCGAACCTGATCTGAGGTGCTAGCGACAGAACACAGACAAAATATTACCAAGAAAAGACAGAGCACCTGCACTTATTATTTATTTGGTTTCTTAGTCATGGCAATAATCACATTCACTCTTTAAGTACAAAAGCAAGTTGCAAAGGATGATAATCAGTTTCGTGACTAGCTGTTAAAATACACAGTTACATTTATTCAACATAAATTACCTAAAGTATTTCTCACCTGAGCAAACAACACCAGCGTCCTCATCATGTCCACAGTTGTGTGTCCCAAATCCACTGTGTCCACACTCAGTTAGAGAACTTTCACTTCCTGAACAGGCCACTTCATCAAGCCAGATTTGTCCACTTCCTTGACCAAAATGAGCAGACTGAGTGGCACTCTCTGCTGCCCCACAGCCCAGCTGTCTACAGACCACCTTAGCATCATTTAAGTCCCAGTTATCGTCACAGACTGTTCCCCAGGAGCCACTGTGATAGATTTCAACTCTTCCAGAGCACCGAGTGGACCCAGACCCAGCTAGTCTGATCTGACCTATCAGCACATAATATAAACTACATTTAATATTTTCCTAAAGTTGAAAAGAATTGAAAAATTTCACACACAAGAGCAGACTGACCTGCAGCAGGTGAAGTGAAGGCCAAGAGGCAAGAAACTTTTGAAGGGAACAAAATGACATTGCTTATTGTGTAACTAAGCACATACATCTGTAGTCATTTATCTAAAGTGATCAATATTTGCACTGAAAGCTAAACCTCAAAGACCAAAACTGTCTGTCTACAAAAGCATTTTAAAAGTATTTCTTACCGAAGGTCAAAAACTGAAGCACTCTCTGCTGTCTGCACCCCATGACTGAAAAAAAGAGGCTGATCAGGTCATTTATGGGAGCCAGATGACAGTAAAGTCAACAAAAAACTACAGTGTACAAAAAACACTTCACATTTGGTTTATCCTCCCAAAACACTTCCTCTTTCGTTTTGATTTTTTTTTTTAAATTTCTCCACGGGGCTTTGACACGAGCAGCTCTAAAGACTGGAGCTCACCACATCATTAAAAAAATCAGTTTTTTTTTAATAAAAATAAAACTGCTCAGTAATCTAGTGACTCTCTGATACATATTGATTCATTATAAGCAAATTTGCACCAACCCTACAATCATCCACAGAAACACACACACTGTCTCCATCTGGTGATTAAAAAGTAATATTGACACAGATGATACATTCTTGAGGTTAAGCACTCATAATTTTAAGCACTCCTACATTAGCCTAAAAAGTATTAGCAAGGACTCACAGTTTAACATTTGAGAAGATGATCTGAATGAGAACCGAAGTCAATCCTTTTATAGTGACAGTGGTAAGAATTGCAACCAGAGAATTGTCTCTGTTTCGACAGTTTTAAATCTTAACTAATTTCATGAATGTTTCTGAGGACTAAATTGGAAGCCACATTTTAAACTATAAAATCTTTAAAATATGGGCCTAAAATTGATGATCTGATGCATTAAAGTGACAGAAATATGCACAAAAAAAGCAAAAGAAGAGAAATCATGAAGGAGGAAAATTGCTTTTCGCAACAGTGTGTGTGATACACCAACAAAAACACAGGGTCACACAGAATAAACTCATCCAAGATTTTTAGGAGATACACCCATGCCATCAATTTGAACAATCTACTGTGCTCAAGGTGATGACAATATGTACGCCTGTCTGACATATAATGTTCTACATGGACTTGCCCCCACATCCTTTAAATGAATTTATTAATCAAGACAGATTGCAGAGTTGTCACTAAGGCCATCCCTAGAGGGCACTGTAAGGTGTTTTATAGGCATTTGGACAAACTGCTGTCACTGTAGGGAACTCAGTGTTATAAAGGAGATGTGTGACCATTTTTTACGGGTGACACGTGTCATTTATTTTTGTTTTTGTTGTGTATTTGTAAGTTTTTATTTATTACAAAGTTTTCTATGACCTGCCCTGGGACTACAGATGTTAATTAGCAGTTTTGCTATAATCTAGCATGTTTACACTTTATGTTTGGTACATTGATGTTCATCAACGTGATGTTCCTGTTAAATGTATAAAAAGAAGAAAAAAATCCTGTAGTCAAGAAAGGAGTGAAATAATTAATAATGACAATAATGAACCGGTTTGGAAAATGTAAGGAGTAGAAAGTCGAGATCTTTGTGTGAAATTGGAGGAATAAAAAGTAGCAAAGTGTCAGAAAAGTGCTCAAGTAGAGAAAGGAAACGTTTGCTTTTGATAAAGACCACAGTGTGGAGGACGTTCTGCGAACTTTCCTACGTAGTTTCGGGTTATCACCGTCCTCTGTCTTCGGTGGTGGCCCCTCCTTTCCCTCCCACCGTCCTCTGCAGCTGTTCCAGCTGTTGCTGCTCCCGTGAAGTTTCATTGTGTTAACCGGTGTTAAAGGCGTACAAAGCTCACTATTACTCATTCATACATGAACAACATGCAGTGTAAATGAATCTGTTAAAAGTCCTTTACAGCAGTAGATCACCTAGTTTCTCACCTTGCTTATCTGCGTTTATTTTTTTGCGGTAGAGACAGCCACGTCTGCCTGGGAAAAGCAGCCTGCTAATCGTCACCACTTCAGCTCCTCCCCCGGACCCTGCTGCTAACAGCGCAGTGGGAATCACACTCCTAACTACACACAGAGCGATAGCCATTTTTCCCGAATCACTGTCCATACCACCACCTCTAACTGTAAATAATATCTCACATAATAACCTCTATCAGGAGTCATAATTAAGGAAAATGCTTTAAAAGATCAAATGCAATAAATGTAATTAAATATTGGTTTAGACATCCCTGTTTAGTGAATGTTTACACATGCTCTATCAGTGTAAACATTTCAGGCCTTTAGACAGCTATCAGCTACAGTGTAGCAATATCAAAATCTGAATGAACGCGTACACTGTAGTCTATAGCACACAGTATTAGCTTATTATGTACACGTTGGTAAGTTGTCTGACAAGTTAAAACAAATCAGCATGCTGTGTGTGCAACAGCACGACAAACACTACCTGTCCTTTTATTAACTGCAAAAGTAGTGCTGGTCAATAGCTGTTTGCTAACTGGGTGTCAGGGGTTTGTAGCTCTGTCCACCATTTCTTTTTAGAGTAAGCTGCAGGGCTTTCCCCTGCCTTTCTGGAAGGCTTCTATTTCACTAAAAACTATCTGATATGCATATCCACATAATTATGGATTATTATAATTATGCTATTAAAAACACACTGCGTTTTAAAGATAATACATCAAGAAACTGATTATATTAGATAAATAATAAGGGAAGCATTCTGGATCAGCACCATGATGCAAACTTGTAGCCATAGTATATACAGTACTCTGGAGAAGGTAAAAATGTCACACACATGTGTGTGTGTGTGCATGTGTATAGATATTTTAAAACGATTACTCATCATATAACATTGCCCAGACATATCCGGTAAGGGAGGAGGAGGGAACAGTGATTCTAGAATAAAAACAATAATGAACACAACTGCATGTTTTAGTTCTATAACATTTCCTGTCATTACTTTATTATGGATTGGGTGCAAGAGTTGTGTGGAGCTTGCAAAGAAAAGTCCAGACATTTTCTTTGCAAGGTCCTTTGACTACGATGACCTGGATGACTGAGAACCTTCACAGTCTTAAGTGTGGATAATTAAATAACAGATTAATGCAATAGCAAACTGTGCCCTTTTCTTAGTTGGACAGCAAGTAGAGAGTGATAGACAGGACACAAAGCCTAGTTTATTTCCCACAGTATTTTTAATTCCTTCCCTTAATTTTAATTGCATTTTATTATTATCTCATAACACTTGTCTAATCAGCTACCATCCTATGGACTTTTTAATGCCTACAGTCTCAGATCAACACAACGCTGCCCTCCAGCAGCAGGAACAGCAGCTATCATGCTATAGCAACATTTACCCCATCAGGTAAAACATAGGCTACATTTTCTTTGCATTGTCCCCACCTGATGTCAGTGATATAGTATGATGTGATTCCATATTAGATTCCTGATGAATGTGGGTTGTTGTTATTCGCCCTGGTTTTATGTGCCCCTTTTTAACTTTGAGCATCTGCCCCTTTAAACATCTCTGCATGGCCCTGCTCACTGTATGCTGAGACTATCTCTGGCAGAGGCCACTGAGGCCTCCACTAATCATCCACAGATAAAATTGAAAATTCAGTTTTTGTCACTGGTTAATCCATAAGATATATTTAGAGGCTCAAAGGACTTTTGATTAAACTTGCAGGCACTCTCATGAACAGGAGAGACACGTTCCATCATTATTCTAAAGTGGATTTAGCAAATAAAATTCTGGGGAGGATTCCAAGTTTTAAAGTAACAGTTCATGAGAACTGTTGATATGAGGTCCAACAAGAATCCAGTGCAATCATGGACAGCCTCTTCAAAAATGGTTTCAATGGAAGTCATTGTTAAAGAGAAAAAAGTTGAAGTATACCAAAATATACAAGAACTTGACTGAAAATCAGTGGATGAAGGACCTGATGAGTGACAAAGTCAACTGTTTGAGAGGCTTGTAAAGTATAATATATATAGACAAAGGAGCTTGCAAATAAAAGCGTCTGGACTTCTTTAAGTTGCTTGAAGACATTTCACCTCTCATCCGAGAAGCTTCTTCAGTTCTAAGGTCAAATGGTGGAGAGTCCCAGATTTAAACCCAGTGGGAGTATCCCCCCACAGAGGGACAAAAGGACCCCCTGATGATCCTCTAATCGCCTGAGCCAAGGTGTGAAACTGGGTGTGGGTCCCAATCAGCCAGAGCTTGTTCAAGCCCAGAGGTCTGTAAAACAGTCAAAAATGATGAGAGAGAGATTCCCCAACTTTAAATCAGTCATGGTTTGATTTTACTGGCTAAATCCTGGAGCTTTCTGACTGCAGCTTTTTAAACTTTCCACAGTGTCAGTGGTCAGGATACCTCTGTGTTTAATGATTAGTCCTCATGCAGCAGTCCCCAGCTGCTGTCAGAGCAGGAGATGTTCACCCTTACACGCCCAAACGAATCGCAAATGAGTGAAGCCGCTGCTCCTGCCCTGACTGTAACCAACTCAGTTCTTCTTTTACTGTTACTCTTTGTGGATCACAAGGTTTAAAACTACTTAAACACACAAACACACACACACACACACACACACACACACACACACACAAAGTAACTCTGTTATAGTGCCTATTTCGGGTCACTTTTGTCAGTCCTAAGCCCAGATAAAGGATGAGGGTTGGAATTGTGACATTTAAAAAAAACAATAATTGCTAAAAGAAATTTAATTTGTAGTTCTAAATATATTCTAAATGCATTTAGGGTGTTTTTTTTGTTTTTTTTTTACTTATTTTATGTCTCTTCCACGATGTTATTTCTCTCTCCTACAATTACAAAAGCATGACCAATTATGGAAATTGGGCAATTATGTCATTTAGAGACTTCTAGTGACTTTTAGGACAAGCAATTTTCCTTACTGAGGAGTTGCCTTCATCATTTCAAATATTTAAGGCTAAAGACAGTATTTTGGATTTAGTCTCACTCGCTCTCATGGACAGAGAGCGAGTTTATTATTCAATAAAGAAAGACAATGAAAAATTTACTTTAGTCTGAGTGATTCACTGTGAAATATGGTTGCTGTAGACTGACAACTTAGAAATGGACAAAATACATACAGCATACATAAATTATTATTTTTTTTAAATTACATTTATTCAAAACCAATGATTGGTTCAGGAAACATACCCACGTTACCTGTTGATAGTCACAGTTTAACGTGGGCAGCTGCTGCTCATTATAACGTAATGTCGGCGCAATATTGTGTGCAAAATAAGTAAATGTAGTTTGTTTTCTGAG